GGACTTCGTGGTTTCACTCCAGTCCCCACAGGAAACTTTCCTCCTCAAACCATCCTGCTCTCTACCTTGGAGAGGCAGAGTCAGTAAAGCACTGAATGTTGCAGGTAGGAGTGAAACAGACTGGCAGAACAATGTGGCTCCCACAGCTGCAAACACAGTCAAATCTGAGATAGAGATGTTTTTGCAAGTCCGGAATGGCAGAAGATTTTGAAATATAAGTGCATTGAAATAAATGTGTTATACAAGGACATAGCAGATGCCAATTCAGTGAGCAAACAAAAAAGCACAGCCCATCCCTGTGTCATTACAACTGCCTCATTTAAAGGGCAGTTTTGACCAGAATGACACATTTGTGAGTCACACAATGGGGAACAGGCTGTGACTTTGCTCAGAAATCTACCTTGCTTTGGCTTCCTGTCAGCACGGCTGAAAGACCAATACCTGTCATGGCACAATGTCCATGTGTGGCAAGAGGGCCCCAGTTTAACCCCCTGCTGGTCCCTCAGGACCAGCTAAGCATACAGAAAACCACGCCTGCACACAGCCTCACTGCACACTCTGTATGGGTGGTTGACAACATGCACGTAGCCTTTATGCATGCATATTTTCTTGCAGTGTCTGAAACCAGACTGATAAACACCTCTTCAAACTGGTACTCAGCTTCATTCTCTGTTATCCAAACATTTCATCAAAGGCCACTTACCTACAAAGCAGACATCTCAACCCAAGCCAGACAAGCCACATACCAAAAGCCTTTTGAAAACAAGGAACCAAACCTGACTTTATTCGCTAATAGTGAAGAGGTGACAGCAGTTATTTTATATCTGCAATATTTTGCAAATTCTGAAAGACTTAACTCTCATAAGGTGATTACACCATTAATTAGCAAAACACTGTCATCCCCGAGGTGCCAAAACAGCAGCTGTTTCAGCTGAACAGCAAAGAAAAGCCAAGAGGGCAAGCTGACAAAACTGGTAGTGCTCCCATGAGCAGCCCAACTTCTCCGACCACCCCCACGCTGCCACCCCACGATAGGGCAGTGCTCTTGTTCCAACAAGGGAACAGGACTTCAACTCTTCCTCTACCACCTCAACCACCCCAGTCTCCCTTAGGGCTAAATCCCTTCTTCCACCTGGGCGCATGAATGGGGGCTCTGACAAAGCTGTGTTGCAGCCTGAGCCCTGTGTATCTCAGGACATGAGTCCTCCCAGGAAGCTGGTCATACATAGCTGATCAACCCAGAAGGGATCTCTCTGGGCATTCATTCCTCTGACCCTCTGCAAAAGGGAGATCATAGAAACTACCTCAGTGATCTCCCCTTCCAACTGCAGCATGAAAAGAACCAAAATAAAATCCCAGGAAAATACCCTGTGATCTTTTTGATCATAGTTGTTTTTTTTTTTTTTTTTTTTTTTAATCGCAGCTTTTTGATCCATTACTCTGTGAACAGGGCTTCATTTCTAGCTTAAGCATGTCTGGCTAAAACTGCCAAGTGCAGAGCTCTGCTCCTGAACTCTGAGCTGGGCAGAGCAGGCGTCCATGATCAACTTCAGTTCCTCACCTTTTCCTTCAGGCACCTCCAGACCATGGCTGCATCACCACAAACCTTCCCGAAGGGTCAGTGATCAGGCCCAGGTTGACACAGCTGATGGTGAGGGACAAGATGAAGGACTATGCTGACGAGGGGGACAGGCTGGGACCCCTCTCCCAAGTAAGGGACTTAGGGATTGGGATGGCCACCAGTGAGGTCCTGCACAAACTGACAAAGGATGCCACAAGAGAAACACTTTGCACCACAGCAAGTTTTGCACCACAGGCTGAAGATGGGTGGGCAGTAGGAGGATGATCCTCTTCACAGCACTCCCCCTTTAGATGATAGCTCTGACCACCGACTGTGGCTGTGATGTCCTTTGTCGCGTCAGGCAGGGCCCATGGTGTGACCCTGCTGGGGTTCATTCCCTTCTCTTGGGGCCTGCAGCAGGCACTGGAGACACAACAGCACTGCCCTCCTAGAGGCATTCTTGGCAGCGGGGCAGTTCCTGCAAAGCCCACCTCAGGCTGTCATGATCTGCCTCCCAGGGGCTCCCTACAGTCAGGAACGAGGGAGAAACATCTCCTGAGTAGTACTTGTGGCAGCAGATCTAGCTTGGAGGAGGCTGGATTCTCTTAAGAGGGTTGGGAGCTAAATTCTGCTGGACTAAAGACATTTTGATCCCATTTTTTGTATTTTTCATCCCACTCTATCACCTCAATACCATTACCATCCTTCCAGAGCACATTTGCTTAGAAACATCCCTGGTGGGACAGAAACAGTTCTGGGTCTGGGGCACCCAAAGGTGGGTGGGCCCAAAGGTTTGAGAGCCCCTAAGCAGTGCCAGCAGCACAAGAGCAATGTGCCCACCATTCTTCCTACAAGAAACTGGACCAGGGACCCTGTTCATCTTCAGAGCACGTTACACAGCAGCAATGGCAAATCACCCATGGAAAGTCTGCATGCAGCTGTGGGGTTATCTGGTTTATGCTGGGTTATGCAGATTCAGGTCAAGAAAATGCAGTTTGTTTAAAGACATTTTGTCTTCCACAGTATGTGGGGTTATCTGGTTTATGCTGGGTTATGCAGATTCAGGTCAAGAAAATGCACAGAGTTTGTTTAAAGAAATTTTGTCTTCCATATTCGGGAGAAGAAAGTGGGCCTATCATTCACATGAAGAGGAAAGGCCTTACATTGCTCTGAGAAGGAGCAGGATACCACACACCTTTCAATCCTTCAAAGGATTTGGCCATCACATTCTCAAAAGCAGTGATAGGAAAAAGAAAAATCAAGCTGTTAATAAAATATGGAGACAGCTTAGGAATTTGCTTGTGAAAGTCCATGATAAAAAACCTCCAGCTGAGATCCAGCCTCTACTTTATAGTCCCCTGTGCTCTGCCCCATCTTTCCTTAAATGCATGGAAACAGGGCTTCTGTCACCCCTTTACCATGACTGCTTAGAGTCTGAGAGGTTTCACTAGTCTGAGGAAGCTTTTCCTTCACATACAATTTCAATGTTCCATTTCTTGAAGTCATCCCCTTGTCTTTTATACTCTAGCAAGCAGAACAAGTGTAAATTAAATGGAAGACACATGAAATCTTTATAAAGCCCAGTGTTTCCACTAGCATGAATGTTCTTTCATTTTAGAGTGGAAGGGGTCTCTGTGCTGTATTTTCCCCATCAGAAAATGAAGAAGAACATAAATTTTCCTCATGACTTGAATTTAGCTTAATCAGCAGCCCCCTGCTGATGTAATTCAACCCAATGAGATTTTTCTTTTTTTTTTCCTGGTGAGCTGCTGCCCCTTTTCCCCTCCTCCCACCAATTCAGGCATGGAAAACAAGGGAGGAATTAGACAGACAGAACTTACTATCTATCAAGCTCCAACTTCAGACTGGGCAGGAATAACATTTAAAATATAAAAAGCAAATTTTATGAAGCCTTTTCCTCCCCAGAGACTGCCACAAAAATTTTCCTTGTTTGTCACTGAGAATGAACCACTTTTCTTTTTCATTTCTGCTTTCTGTCACATATTTCATTTTGGCTGCCCCTTCTGTCTTTCAGCTAGGGACCTATGCTGCTAACACAGAATCACAGGTAATTCAACAACAAAATGCCTGTATTATCTTTTTTTTTTTTTCCTAGTCTGTCAGGTAATTGCAACTCTAAAAGCTTTTGCATATTTACCACAGAAACATGTCTCTCCTGGAGGATGGGACTGTCATCAGGTAGAATATCTTATTTAATAAGCCTCTTCTAAGGTATAAACTAAGGCTGGGGATTTTTTTCCTGGCCTCCTTCAGAGCAAAGGACAAGCAGATAAAGATCAGCTGCTGCAGTGCTACACTGTCAAAGTTCCTGTTCCTGTGAAAATTAACCCACTCCAAGCTCAGAGTTCAGGTAGGCTTTGCCACTGCGAAATTAATGAAGTAGGAAAAGGGTCTGTTATCAACTCATGTTGGTGTTTCAACCCCAGTCCTCACCATGCATAAGACAGATTTCTTCTCTATTTACAAACAGATCAACTACTCTGCTTTTTTGTAACTCATCTGATGAGCCGTGGATGCTGCCAGGACTGATTTTCATTACATCCATCATGAAGGAGGATTGGATTTTCTCTCTTTGCCCCTGTTTCACAGAAGCACAACGACAAAAATGTGGTCTGAACATTTCTAAATTCAGCTGTTTTCTAAAGACAAATTCCCTTCAAATTCCCTGCCCTTCCAGGGGTTATGAAAAGAGACCACTCTGATTAAACTGTTCAACAGGATGAACAGGAATATACCTGGCTCACACATTTCACTTCAGGCACACCTGTGCTGAGGTCACAGCTCCATCCTAGCCCGTAACAAAGCACTGTGAGTGGGAATCAACAGACAACAACAGGTCCTCACTCCAACACCAAATCACAGGCAATACTTGCCTGGAGGAGACCTGACAAGGGCCAGCCAGAAGACTCCCATTGACTCAGAGCCTGTGTGAAAATTAATCTTTGACAAACCATCTTCTGCATCCATACAGTTTTCCTGTGGGCCAACCTTACCCTTGTTAAGTCCCTGGTTTCATAGATGAGGACTGACTGGAAGACACATTTGAGACTGTTAGGTTAAAGTAATCCTGAAACCAAGAACCTACATCCATTGACTTGGAATGGAAATGTGGACATCCCCTCTTCTGGAAACAGTTGCAGAGAGAACAAACTGATGGAAGTGAACAGACTTTCTAAACTGTAACTGGCAAACTCTATTTTTGCAACACTTCATGATTATTTACAAACTTACAATGGTTTTCAATGCAAGTAAACTCCAAGAGGTTAGGACATCATTTTCTGTTATCATCAACAAGGTATTCTAAGAGCCATCTCTGTTTAGAATTAAAGGATGAATCTCATTCATTTAAATGAATGTAAGAAAACTCCCATAGGTAAAATACTTCTCCTAGTAGTGTCACATGAGCCCAGTCTCTTACCTGTAGTATCTGGATTGAAGGTAAGTAGAACACACAGCCTTAGACACATGGCTAGCTGAACCAAAGTCTATGACCTTGACCCTATATGGCTGTCGGGATGGGTCTACCAGCATGATGTTCTCTGGTTTGAGATCAGCATGAATCAGTCCCAGGCTTTTCAGCTTCATTAGGGCGGTTGCTACCTGCTGGAGAATTGGTCGAATGTACTTAAGGGGCAAGGGACTGAATTTATTTTGTTTTAAGAAATCATAGAGGTTCTGCTCCAACATTTCAAATACCAGGCATGTGTGATTCTTGTGCTGGAAGCATTCATAAGCACGGACAAAGTTGTAGTCATCCGCGCTTTCCGTGCTCAGCCGAGCCAGGATGCTCACTTCAATCTGGCCTTGCCGGGCATAAGAAGGATGGTTTTTTAGAATCTTGATAGCCACAATCTCATTAGTGCCACGTTTCCAGCATTTGACTACTTGTCCGAAGGTTCCACGGCCAAGAAACTCTAACACTTCGTACGTGTTGGTCATGGAACAGAGCACCTCATGTTGCACCAGCTGGTAATCCCCTTCACTGTTGGAGCCACTGTTTTTGGAAGTGGCCGTGGAGGTGGTGGCGGTGGCTACAGTGGCCCCACTGGCATTGTTCTGAATCATTGGTGGATGCTCCTCGATAATCTGCACGCTGCTTGTGTTCTCAATCTCCTCACTCTTGCGCTTAAGTCCACATTTTTGGTAGGTGTCCAGAAGGCTCACAGTGCTGCGACGCATCAGGTTGTGTGGCCCGCCCAGCGTTTGCCCAGACACCGCAACCACACCAGAAGTGCTGTTGGCAGATGTGACCACGATGTGCCCCGTGCTTGCTGGGAAGATGATGGTCTGCTCGTAAGGGATGCTGGGGTTGGGGATCTGGAGGGAGGCGTTGACGGCTGCTGCGGCGGCTGCTTGGGAGGACTGCACGTTCTTGCCCTGGTTGTAGACTTTGCTGTGTGTGCCGTACCCAGTCATATCCCAGTTCGAACTCGGCTCCACTTTCAGTTTCTTCACGCTACAGAAGGCACTTGACTGAAGGGTATGAGGAGAGAAAACTTGCACATGCGAGGCCATACCTGCAATACAACATCAGAGTGAAACCACTGTGTCAAGATGCCTTCCCCAGCTTTTTTCATTTGCTCAGTGGCAGGAAAGGGAAAGGGGATACAGGCTTCAGATACATTACATGCACACACACAAAAAGCAAGTTCTTCCAGAAATATGTATTTGACACAAGTAAAATATTATGCTCTAAAATAAATCCTTACCCCAGATTGAACTATACTAACAACATTCAAGGTTTCTGTTCTCTTGCTCTCCCCCTTTTCATTTTTAATAACAGGAATGTGCATGTTATTTTTACCTCCTCTGCTTAAGAGACTCCTATTCCCATTGTCTCCAGGAATATATCTAGCTCTCTGGAAGAACTCATGTCAAATACTGCAAAGGATTCTGACTACAGAAGCCAAATCTCAAATCCTCAGGCTCATCCAATCCTAAGCAGTTTGGTGGATCTGACTTAAGCCCTCCACTTACACCCATAAAACCACTGTGTAGCTTCTGGCCTGCACAGAGCGAAGATGGGGCCAGGAGATGATACACTGTGAGCAAATGGAGGTGCACAGATAAAGTTGAGGAGCCAGAACAGAAGAAGATGATGTTTCAGATTCCTTGCCAACTCTGTGAGTGGGAATTGTGCACAATGCTAGTCTGTGCTCAGGACTGGAGATGGGAGTTACACAACATGAGCTTCACTGTGTGCTGTCAGTGCTCCCAGATTTATAAAGTTTTGTTCATCTATTCTTATTCACAGTGACAATACCATCACCAGGAAGCAGATCCCCTGGAAATGAACAGCATTGTTTATGAAGCAACATACACATTAGCATGTGGCAGGATTAACTCTTAATATAGCTTTATTTTAATGCAAGCTTATTTGGTTTCAGAAGAGTTAATGATCTTCTAAATCTTTTTAAAAAAACCCAGACCACCAAAAAACCACCCCACAACCTCATAACTAAAGTGAAAATAATGCATCACTGAGACAGACTTACTGAAGGATTCTGAGTAATATTCCACTGAAACAGAAAAAGTGCCTATTCAGAGAAGAAAAGATGTGGTGCACGGAGAAGGGGACAGCTAAGTCCTGACTTGCTGCCAGCTTTCCCTCCCCAGAGTGGGGAAGGTACTGCTGGGGCAAACATTTTGTGAAGAACACAAATCCATGGGGACTTCTGAGGAAGGAATCAGCACCCAGCAGAGTTAGAGCAGAAAGGCACAGCCTCCTTCACCCTTCTATCTGTCATCAGTGTTTCTTTTTAATAAACCAGAATGACTAGGGAAGAAAAAGACAATATGCTGAGCTGGCACCATTGTTGAATTATTAAGCACAAACATAACCTTGACTTGTTTTCAACTTAAAGCAGTTAAAATCTGAATGAATGCTTCAGTAACAAAGCCACAACAAACTCTGCAGTGCACATGGATGACTTCTTCGTGTGGAGGCATGACAGTATCTGACTTGGCCTCCTCATACTTCACTAGTCCATGTTCCTCTTCACAAGATTTTCTGGAGCTCATGTACACAGACACACTCACACACATGCATGCATAAACTTACTCATATAGAAAAATGTGAATGTCACTCCACACTCACAAAGCTCAGTAGTCAAGTTAACAGATCTAAACACACCCAACTCTCTTTTTCCACTTAATTCCCAACAGCCCAAAGGCCAGGAGTGGCTCAGGAGAGGGGTGCTGTGGTGAGCCAAAACCTACCAAGAGTAACTGCTCAGAAGTAACAGGCAATCTCTCCACTTTGCTTCACACCCCTGCCTTCACCCCTTCCGCAGTGATGAATTTCTGAGGACAGAGCAGATGCAGAAGAAAACCCCTTCAGGACACAGGGGGAAACCCTCACCTGGGCTTTAATGCAGCACACAAAACCCCACTGATCCCAGTCTAGCAAGGAAGCCCTGCAAACCATATCATGCTGCCCTCTGCAGACATGGCCCCTGTCTCCAAGTGGGTTTATGATTGTTTACTGTTGTTCCTTTTAACTCCATTACTCCCCCAACCTCCTGGGCAGCAATTCCCAAGAACCCTGCAACTGGAGGCTCAGACACCCTCCAGCTCCTTGCCCTGCTAGAGAAGTACCTTCTCTACTCTCTCCTTCCACAGGGCAACGATGCTGCCACAAATGCCAGGCATGTGGTGGGCTGTGAGCTCGGAGAACCACAGCAGTGCTACTCAGCTTGTCATCCTGGACACAAAGATCGTGTGTGAGTGAGCCAAAACCGTGTTTGTTTTTCCACTGATTAAGAAGAATCACGGTGTTCCTTCTAGTACAGTACTGACCTGCCTGGAGAGAGGGGGTGGTTTGATGTATGTTTTCCCCCTGGACGCAAATAATATGGCAGATGTAATTGGTAACATATTGTGGACCTAGCAGAGGTGTAATTTATAGTTTTATGGCTTTCATTCCATAATAGGCGTGCTTGAGCAATCTCTCTTCGTAGAAAATGAAAAGGGAAAAAATGACTGACGCAGAACAAGGAGAGACGTTCTTCTCGCACTCTCCTCTAAAGATAACACCAAAAGGCTGAGGCATAGCAAATTAAAGTCAAGGATGTGAAGCACAGCAGCTGCAACTTTCTCAGCGCCACTGTAAAAATCAGGATAATCGCCACCATTAAGGGACAGGCTTTCCACTGGTGCAAACTGGCAGGGCTCCACTTGATATCAGCTGACGCTAAAAACAAGGTCAGCAGTCACTCAACATTGTCAATGTCAGATGGCTGCCTGCGCCCTTTGGTGAAACGAGTTGTTGTTAGGGACTAGTTTCCACATCAACAACCAGCCCCTTGCTGTCCCTGAAACACTGCTGGCAGCCTCAGCAGAGGACAGGAACAGGGGATAAACACTGACTCACCCCAAAAATGGAGGGGATGAAAGAAGCAGTGCTTCTGTGGATAAAGTGAGGACTTTGGACTCTTCTGCTGCCAGTGCTGCCCTCCTCAGAGGTTACATCTCATCACAGAAAAGGTTTTTTCTTTTTCTCTAAAAAAAGAACTATGAAATCTTCTTCCTTAAATCCAAAATTATTTTCTCGTGTTTGAGGTTTTAAGGGCATGCATTCTAAGGAAAATAACTCAGTGAGTTCTTCAGCACAGTCCGATACCAAGAAATTACAGGCTGATTGACAGCTTGGTGATGGGAAAAGGCGGCTTCTGCAGAAAAGTAATTTTTATTGCAAATTTTCCTGTGCAGTTAATGCGAGAAAAACACAATCCTAAATTTCCTGAGGACACAATAAAACTGTGCTGGTGGCATGTTGTTTCTTTCAAAATGGATTTTTGCTCCATGGAAATAGCAGGAATAGTAATAAATGTGAATAAAAGTTGGATGGTTTTGTTACAGGAATCAAATTCCTCATTACAGCCTGTAATATGATTTACACCTTCAGCCTTTTGATTACACAGGCTGACAACAGCTTGCCACAACACCCACGAGGAAACAAGCCAGCAGTAAAGGGGTGATCCATGCCAGCCAAGCCCAGTGGCAACAACATCTCAGAGACAGTGGGAATGCCCCTGGGGAGCATTCTTGCTCCTGGGGCCTTGGAAAGACAGAGGGGCCATAAGCTGCGGATGGAAAATGGGATGTTTCACCTGGCAAATGTTCTCTTAACCACCCATTCACAGGTCTGACAAGAAACCTCCTGTGCAAGGCTGGACCTCTCATATCACTTCCCTTCTCTGCAGGAAGATCCAAGCAGTCACCTTTCTGCATTTTGCATGGAATGACCAAGGCTGGCACCCGGCTCCTCATCGTTTTGCACTCTGCCAGTGCTTAAGGAGTGGAGGGAGTGAGGACACTTGGCATGAGCAACTTGACCCACTGAGCATTCCTGCCCACCTGAAACCCAGCTCAGCAGCCCCACCTACACCACCAAAAGCTTTGGCTGGATTAAGCCAAGTGGCAATTCCAACTGAGCTGGTGAGCTGGTCCCTGCCCTGGCATGAGTGCAAGGCAGACCTCTATTAGCCAGCCAGGATGAAGCCAGGATGCAACAACAGCTAAAGATATGTCCTGAAGAGTGTAAGTCCAAGTTTTATATCACCCCTGAGCACAGCGAATCTCTGGGCTGGGAGCAGAATCAGGGTTGGGCACCATGCATTAAATAAAATTGATAGTTCCTTTCTTTAATAATGAGTTTAGTGTAGTCATTTAAAGCTCTCACAAAACTGATAGTAACTGGATTTAATGGGGCCTTCCCTGTCCTTGATATGACTCACATAACTCCTCATAGCATCTACATGAGCTGAAGTAGGTAGGGTGCAGCCAGGGGACAGTGTTAAAACAGCTGGAATGACTTTTATTTAAAGACTTGAGGTTTTTTGTTCCTGAGAACTCCTCCCACGTCAGCTTTCACTTAATAATAATTTAGCAGGTGCTATTTACAATTCAGATGGCCCTCTTCTGCATGCACACACAAATCACGCAGCCGCCCCACTTGTACTTCTAACAGGTTTCAGGAAAGCAAATGAGGCAAAGCTCCCTATCCACCCACGTCACCCCAAAGGGCAAAAAATACACTTTGGGGACTAAAGAAGGAACAGTTTGAAAGTCTCTGATGTTTTCTGCTGGTTTACTCCCAGCACTTACTGCTGATTTTTAAGTGTGTTCTTTGAGGTGGCAAGAGACCGAGCCGGTGCCCTGTGCTAAGAAGGAAGTCAGACCTTCTGCAGCACCTGCAGAGCTGCCAGTGCTCTGTAACCAGAGGCTGCTTCCTGGCTGCTGCCAGAACGACAGTGCCTGCTTGAAAAATACTGTAGAAAGCACACGGCGTGTGTTCAGCATATAAATGATGCTCGCAAGACAACACTGAAATAAGTATCTTCCACTTCTCCCCAGAGAGGCACAAGCCTGCAAACCCATATACACGCCCAGGCTGAGAAGGCAACGAAAAGGGAATCTGCCAGGTATGGCTAATGCATTGCACCCTCAAAACAGCCATGTCTCAAGCACAGCACCCTTCTTCACAGTGGCCCCTGTGTGGCTCCTTTTGAGGCAT